ATGGTGGAAGCAGCTTGTTGATGGGTGAATGACGACAGCTGTTCTACGCTGTACGTGTGCCGGCAGAGGCTAGGCAGAGCTATTCCCTATGCCCGCTTAATGGGACTCTGCCGACTGCTGCTCTAACATAAAGGTTACACATTAAAGCCTAGTAGTTACATCGACAAAAACCGAGTGCCACCTATAGGAGAGAGCGAGAGGTAAATAGACGGCTTTCGTAGAGGTGCTTCTTCACCGCGGTACTCAGATAAGTTAAGAAAATTCCAGAAAAACTATCTGATTTCTTGAGCTATTTTTGATTAAACGATTGTTAGCCGAAGCGCAAAGAATTTCCAAATTTAAAGTTTCGCTGTGTTCGTACAAATGAGGTGTGAGAACCTAAAATTAAAAATGGAAGGAACCCCCCAAAAACGCCTGCAGGGGTCAGTGCAGACGAAAATGAACGCCTAATCCAAGCTGTTGCCCAGAATTGTGAGACTTGACCCACAGGTAGCAATACCACAACAGGGGAAACCCGCAGAAGAATGGAAGTGCTGAAGATAATCCAATCGAGAAACCCATTGGTTAGAAGGCCACAAGAATTTGGTTACGTTGTGGAAATATAAGTATCTTTTTAGCAGAACCATCAGTTTGCTCCCCAACCAACTCTCTATTGGGGAGTCGCTGGACTTCACCAGCTAGTTGCCAGCTAAAACGCGGGTGGACGACGCGCTGGCCTCTATAGGGAAAGGAAAAAAGGGCAGCCCGCTAAGGGACAGCTGGAGGAGTCATTACCAGCCATTGCCAAATTGCTGTACGATTTCCTGGCGCGGAAAAGATGGTGAAGCATCTGCGACACGAGATGGAAGCCTTAAACTATTAATAAACCAAAATAAAAACATCCTTTGAACATTCCATGTATACCTATTTCTTTGTGCATCAGCAGATTCGTCTTTTTGACATCGTCAACAAAACAAACCCAGCTGCTTGACAGTAAGACAATGCTACATGCATGGCGGGTGAACTTTGAAAACTTGGGTCATTCAACAATGAATATAATTATTCAACTAGTGAAACTCTTAGCCGATCTGAGTACTAGGCTTTAGTATCAAGCACCTAGGATTGTTGACAAACGGAAGCATATGAATTGGAGCAATTTTAAAAGACGAGCCTGCTGGTGCACAAAGAAATTAAAATAAAAACAAGAGAGAACACTATAGTCGACAAGAAGTCCATGTGTGGAACGAGTTCCCAGCTTCTGGACGAACAAAGATCAAATTTCTGATTATTTGCGCGGTGGCTAACGGCGTACATCAGAATTCACTCACGAAGTATGGTATTTTTTCTGGTATTTCCTAAGCTCATCTGAGTACCGCGGTGAAAAACACACTACTACTTACTCCTATGGTTTAGCCTAGTACTTAGATCGACTAAGAGTTTCACTAGTCGAAAAATCGTATTCTTTGTAGTGTCTGCGAAGTTTCCAAAGTTCACCCGCAATGCATGTAGCATGGTATTACTGTCAAGCAGCTGAGTTTGTTGCCAAACGGAAAACAAATCTATTGGAGCAATTTAAAAAGAAAAGTCTGCTGGTGCACAAAGAAACTAAAATTAAATGCAATGTTCAACGAATGGGTTTATTTATGTAAATTAGTAGTAAAAAGATTTTTATCGTCCCACGGGTGCTTCGCCATTTTTCCCGCGCCGATTCTCAATAGGCATATTGGACCTTGAGGAAGTAGAAGTCGGATTGGGAACGGGGTTGATCCGCTGATGCTTCTCCAACTGTTCCTTAGCGGGCGCCCTATTTACCTCCTCCCTATAGATGCCAGGGCGTCCTCCAGCTCCGCTTAAGCTGGCTAGTAGCTGGTGGTGGTGGTAGGACTGCGGACCTAATGGAGTGGTCGGCGGAGATTGTATTACTGGTGGTTCTGCTAAAAAGATACTTTTATTAGCACAACGCAACCAAATTCTTTTGGATAGATCTTACTTTGCGAGGACGCGCCCGGCACGATGTCCATGTAGAGATCGAAGTCCCGCTCGGCATGTTCCTTCCCGCTGGGTTTCTCTAGTGGATCTCCTCCAGCACTTCAACTATTCTGCGAATTTACCCCTTTTGTGGAATTGCTTCCTGTCTGTGAAATCCCACAATAAAGGGCATAAGCTTGGATTTGGCGTCTTATTTCATCTGCACTGACCTCATGCAGTAGACTGTGGTGATTTCCTTCCATTTATATACCCGTTACTCGTAGAGTAACAGGGTATACTAGATTCTTCGGAAAGTATGTAACAGGCAGAAGGAAGCGTTTCCGACCCCATAAAGTATATATATTCTTGATCAGGATCACTAGCCGAGTCGATCTGTCCGTCTGTCCGGATGAACGCTGAGATCTCGGAAACTATAAGAGCTAGGCTATTGAGACTTGGCGTGCAGATTCCTGAGCTTCTTACGCAGCGCAAGTTTGTTTCAGCAGAGTGCCACGCCCACTCTAACGCCCACAAACCGCCCAAAACTGTGGCTCCTACAGTTTTGATGCTAGAATAAAAATTTTAACTGAAATGTATTGTTCTCATCAATACCTATCGATTGACCCAAAAAAAGTTTGCCACGCTCCTTTTAACGCCCAAACCTGTGACGCCCACAAATTTCATGCTAGATAAAAAATTTTAACTGAAATGTATTGGTCTCGTCAATACCTGTCGATTAAATTTGTCGCCCACTCTAACAGCGCTCTTTCTTATTAATTTATAGTTTCCACACCGCCTTTGCACGAACACGCCAAAGATTAAATTTCATCTTCTTTGGGCCGCCGCTAACTGCGTTCATCAACATTCTCTCGCTAAACCTGGTATTTTTTCTGGTATTTCCTTAGCTCTTTTGAGTACCGCGCTGAAAAACAGACACGACGAAAACGTTAGCCGCGTATTTGCCTATCGCTCACTCCTATAGTTAGCTCGCGGTTTTCGCGTACTAGGCTTAAATAAATATTGGTGTCGTGTAAACGGACGCGCATACAGTGTGCCCATTTTTAAACTCGAGGTATAGCCCCTGCACAGCTCCGCCAGAGATCTCTGTTCAAATTTTAAACGGAAAGCTATTCTTATATTAAGCCGTAGTTACAGAAAAAGTGGAATATGTTCCACACCAAAAATAATTTCACCACTGCTGTTGGAAAATTGGGTAAAAAACCGATGTTCGGTTCAGGCATCAGGATCTATTGAGAACGCACAGCCTCCTTGAAAAAGTTACGTCCTTGCAACTTCAACAAATTATATCAACTTAGACCAGGGGTCGCCTTCTTCCCATTTAGCATAAGGACTAGCTCTGCTTAGCCTCTTTCGCTTCATAGACAGTGTGGAACAGCGGTCGGCACACACAAAGGACAAAATTGTTTTGTGTTGTAACAAGATCCTTGAAAGTATTTATAAGACGTATCATTGATTACATATTTTCTTCACGAAACAAATTGTCCCATTTTGGGAGATATACCCTATTCACACAGAGGAGGTTTCCGCTCCATCGACTTTTTCTTCAATAGGAAATACACGTACTAGAAAGAGACGGAAAAATCGCTGCTTTTACTCAGTTTTTTTTTAACGAAAATCACCCAAACTTGTAAAAAATACTGAGCAAAAACACTGAATCGATTTTCGTATGCGCTCCCATTTTCCGAAGAAGCGAGTTGTAGCGTCATTTTCCGGCCTCTTTCTAGTACGTATTTCCTTTAGAAAATGCAGAAAACCTTGAATCTGGAACAGATTTATCTGTTAGCCCAGTATAATAGCCTCCGCACACAGCCGCTTTAAGTCCCTGTTGCAATTTTAAGCGGATTCTCGTTTACATAGAGAGTCGCTGAAGCAAACAGCTGATCGGCATAATCAACTCGTATCCGAAGGAAGATGGCGTGAAAATTAGTTGCTCCGAAAAAGTGCAAAGCTTAATACAATTTGTGTGCTAACATGTGTAATGTTCTCAGCGCCAAATGATTATTTCATTGCTATTAGCAAATTAAATTAGGATGAGATTTTCATTCTATTGACTATTTTGAGCCAACAGTGACGCCGTGAGATTGTTCAGAAGTTAATATCGTTTGGATCTTTGTAAGTATTTATAAAACCTTCCTTGCATACGATTCTGTGACAATACCAATTTTTAAATAACAATTTTAGGAGGTGGATGTGCCTTCAAATGCCTTTTTCTTTAAACTAAGAGTTTCATTAGTCGAAAAATCTTGTTCTTTGTAGTGTGACCGATGTTTTCAAAGTTCACCCGCAATGCATTTAGCATGGTCTTACTGTCAAGCAGCAAACGGAAAACAAATCAATTGCAGCCATTTAAAAAGAAGAGTCTGCTGGTGCACAAAGAAACAAAAATTAAAAAAAAGGAATGTTCAACGAATGTTTTTATTTATATACATGAATAGTTTAAAGCTTCCTTCTCGTCACACGGATGCTTCGCCATCTTTCCCGAGCCACCACAGTCCAGCTCCGAGTCCCAATTGGCATATTGGACCTTGAGAAAGTGGAAGCCGGATTGGGGACGGGGTGATCCGCTGATGCTGCAGAAAGTCGCCCAGCATCCTGGCAATGGCTGGCTATGGCTTCTCCTACTGTTCCTTAGCTGGCGCCCTATTTTCCTCATCCCTATTGAAGCCAGCGCGTCGTCCAGCTCCGCTTAAGCTGCCAAGTAGCTGGTGGTGGTGGTATCGCATAACTGGTGGTTCTGATAAAAATATACTTATATTAATAGATTTATCCATTGGCGATAAGTAAATAAGTAAATATTTCATTTCGTATTTTATCTGCACTGACCTCCTGCAGTCGGTTTTGGGGATTTCCTTCCATGTTTAATATGTAGTTTCCACACCGCCAAAGATTAAATTTCTTATTCTTTGGGACGCGGCTAACGGCGTTCATCGAAATTCACTTGCTAAGTCTGGTATTTTTTCTGGTATTTCCTTAGCTCATCTGAGTACCGCGCTGAAAAGCAGACCCGACGAAAAGCGTTTGCCGCGTATTTGCCTCTTGCTCACTCCTATGGTTAGTTCGCGACTTTCGTCGATGTGAGTACTAGGCTTTAGATTAATAATGTATGTTTTTGTGCAACAGGTGCCAGGTCTTGCCAAGAAGGACATAAGCTGGAGGTTGGTCATTTCCCTAAAAAAGAGCATTGCAACATATGTGCTCAATATGAGATCATTGGCTGGCCACCTCCTAAGCCGTTAGAAGGCTCATTGGGCCTGCACCAACAACAATTTCCTTCTCAAAAAATCCCGAAGCGCCAAGTACAAAAATCTTCTTTGAAAATACTAAAGAAAACACCGGAATACTGAATCGATTTGCGTGCGCGGTCCCATTCTCCGCTGCAGCGAGTCGTAGCGACTTTTCCGGCCTCCTTCTAGCAAGTGTATTCCTATGAAAGAAAATGTCACTAATGCGGAATTTGGTCGCTGAAGCGAAAGCCCCTGTGTGTGAATAGGGTATAACCTTTGTCAAAAAACGTATTCCATGAAGTGTGACCGAATGTTTAGAATTCACGCAAACTGGATTTGCTCTCACCCATACTGGTCTGTGTTTGTTGACAACGGATAACTAAAAAAAACAATGAAATGAAAATATGCAAACAAATTTTTTAATTAACAAAGGCTTACAATAAACATTTTTAAAGTACAAAATGAAAAACTGCTTAGTTGAAGGAGCTCTGAGTAATGGTAGACTAGTGAAAGTGTTTTTCTATTTGACTACTAGTACTAGGCCTTTCAGTAAATTTGCGGCTTTTAAAAATCTACCAGATTTAGTAATTCGGTGTGTTGTACTTTGTGGTTGGGAGGATTGGTATGTGCACATTGTCGTGGGCTGGTCACTCTCAAAGACAGTAATTTCTTATTTTTATATTTTAGTATTTCACTAGTTATGCAGATTAATTTCATTTTCTAAAGAACTTTTCCACTTATGATAGTGATTACTTATGGCCCGTTCGCGAAATACAGAAACTTCTCATCTTTTAACGTGCAACTACTAATGACGAATAAGTTGTTCACAAGTGTTGATAGTACATACATATGTATACATAAAATTGAAAACTGAACAAGTTGAACACAAAAGAATTTAAAAGCATAATAATAGGTCATAGACCACTGCTAGCGCTCATAATGATCGCAACTGAAACATCAGGCTCTGTTTCGTGTATAATTTGAGAGTTGAAAACTCACACATAAGTTTAATAGTGTGCTAGCGTTACGTTGTCTAACTGCCAGAAACCCCAAACAGCCAAAACAATGGCTTTTATGAAGAACTCGAGCATTTAGCCACCGGGACGGTCTGAGAAAGTTCGATTTGTAGGGAGACACCCAATTGGTCCATGTAGGCTCGACTACAATGCTCTCGACAACAATGCCCCACAGTCCAGCCCAAACACAGTCACAGTCGCAACCGAACGCCGATGCTTCAACAAGTGCATCTGGAGTAGGGATCGGGAATGGGGTCGCGGGCACCAGCAGGAGCTCTCCGAAGACTACTAAAAACGAACCCACTCTGTCTCCGGGTAAGTCCTGTTTTCTACTTTCCCTTTACGAAGTACCAATTGGCTGTGCTTCCAGATCAAATTAAAGTGATGACAGACGAAGGAGCAGAGAAAAACGGACTTTTAAGTAGTGATAAAGGTGTCGCCACTTCGACTGGTGGCAACGGAACCGGAGGAGGTGGAAATATTCCAGTCGAGGGACAATCCTCTTCTTTGACCTCTGCTGTTGGTACACCGACACTGAGGCAAAACTCCTCAAATAGCGTCAACTCGTGCCTGGTTGCCTCTCCAAACAATACCAGTGAACACTCGAATAGCAGCAGTGTGTCTGCTACAGTGGGGCTTACTCAAATGGTCGATAGTGACGAGCAGGCCAAGAAAAAGAAAAGCAGTGTAAAGGACGAGGATGTCGGTAAGACTGCCTTGACATTTGCTCATGCTTACATACATTCGGACAGGCTCTCCCCATTAGTTAAATTGTTTTCTGAAATTATTTATATAAAGCTAAAAATACGTATAACATATAAGTTAAATTCGTGGTAAACAAAATTTTCAATATTTTATCCATCATCCTATCTTTAATACACCAAGCATAAAAAACTAAAATTATGATCGCTTTACTTAACGGCTTTCCGTCCAAAGTAAAAAAAAACGTTTATTATATCCGCTACTCGTCAAGTATAAGTGCAAACTAGATTCATCAGAAATATTTATAAGCGAGGTAGATGGAAGCTTTTCCGACCCTATAATGTAGTTATATACTTGATCAGGATCACTAGACGAGTCCATCTAGCCATGTCCGTCTATCCGTCCGTTTCAACGCAAACAAGTCTCTTAGTTTTAAAGCTAACGGGATGAAACCTTCCCAAAAGTCATAATTCTATTGCACGTAGTATATAAGTCGGAACGTATATTTTAACTTCGGTGTTTTTTGGCATACTATTCTACTCTTGGGAATATCATTGCAGAGTAATAATACAGAATCTCGAATAAAATTTGAAAAAAATCGGACGATTTTATCATAAAGCTGTCACTAGAACGATCGGAAAATTATTGTCAAAATAATAAATACGTATTTCGTTTTCGGTAAACATATGCGGTAGTACATTGAAATGGAACATTATCTTTTACAGAAATATCTGTAATTTGTATTAAAAAAAGTTATCTTCTTTTCTTGCTATTTTTGAAAAACATGCTAATTTGGCGGCGAATATCTAAAAAAAACTACGTTTATCAATAACAATTGCTATACCTCCTTACACTTAAATTAAATTTATACCATACAAACAATTTTTAGTGCGAAATCACGAAGACAATTTTTATCAGAACGAAAAAAACTTCAAATCGGACGTAAGAAGCAGCAGATAAATGTACAAATGTTAATTCGATAGAAATTAAAACATTGATTTTTCTGAACCTTTAATAAAGGTAACAGGTAACAGGTATCCCATAGTCCAGGCATTCGACTATAGCGGTTCTTCTTGTTCCCATTGTACACTACATTTTTGATGATTTCTCAACAGAAAAAGGATCTAATAAAGCGAAAGGCATCGCTCCTGGAACCGGGTGTGGAACAGGACCCACATCCGTTCTTTCCATTGGCATTGCTATTAAGGAAGAACCCTCCGACAGCTTGGGCAACTTAGTAAATATGAAAAAAGAAGAAAGAGAAAATCACTCTCCAAACATGTCACCTGTCGGATTTGGTTCCATTGGTAATTCACAGGACATCTCCGCTACGTCAGGTAAGTCTAATTATGGAATAATGTTGCCCTCATTGACTTGAATAACAGTTAATAGCCATGAGAAACGTTATTCTTCAGGATACAAATGATCTCTTATTAAATTAGCGAGACACAATTTAAGAGGATTTTACATTTTATTGAACTTGTGAAATGTATTGATTAAACAATTGTTAATAGAAAGATCTTGCTAAAGTAAAATGTCTCATGATTATATATGTAGTAGAGATCCAATTCATACATCAGGTTTTAGTTTACAAGTATTTTAATTTTTTAAAGGATAAAACAAAGGAATTTTTGCGTAAAATTTAAAAAAGGTCCATAAAACATCCAGCCCTTGACAAATAATTGAATTTTTTCAAAGGCATAAATTTAAAAACATTGTTCTTATCTTAAGAAATGCTTTTTATGATTTTTTGAAGGTGACAATGTCGAAAAAATTTGTATGAAAACAGAAAACTCAAATTCACGTTTCTAAACATTTTCAAAAAATCATCAAAAATATAAACAAAATGATTTTTGAAAAATTCTTTTTGCAGTTTCTATTATTTTTGTTTGAAGAAACTTTTTGCATCAACAAATTTAAGTTTTCAGGTCGAGGAAAAAAGTTTAAAATGTAGATTTAAATGTAGATTTACACAAATTTGTCCTTTTCAATAAATACTGAATGGGTTTAGAAATGTATTGTATTATTCAAACGGCATTTAAATTACCTTTCCATTGATGCCAAAAGTTTACAAGAAGTAAGTTCAAATTATGAGTATATTTAACTTTTGTTAAATTTAATTTTATGAAAATCGGTCGGCTATATCATAAAGAAGCCATAGGAACGATCGGAAAATTAGTGAGAAAATAATATGAAGCAAATTATAGCTTTGGTGTTTTTTGACATATTAACTTCTTCCTGGAAATATCATTCTTTTAATATTTAAATAAGATGGGACGACTCTATCATATAGCTGCCACAGAAACGATTGTTTAATTAATGCCAAAATAATACTTAGACCGTTATATTTTGTTTTCGGTAAGCATGGTCGGTAGTAAACTTAAATGGAAAAATATCTTACAATTTTTATATTTAGTTTTTAGTTATCGGAAAGCTCTATACATACAACGCTCCGGCGGGAACGACCTGCAAGGGTATAAAAACTTCGGCGTGCCGAAGTTAACTTCTTTTCTTGTTTTTAATGGTCTGTGTCAACTGGATAGCAATTGTCCTAAACGGCTATCTCCTATAAGAGAGCACTGAATCCAGCGTCAAGCGATTTGTGTGGCACCCCTAATACAAAATTATTAATATTTGTAATCTAACTTTTTGGATTTTTGTCTTTTGAAAGTATAGTTATTATAATAATGCATGCTTTCAAATAAAGCAAGCCGAAGTTGATATATCATTGCAGCTGAAATCTGAATCATGCAATTAAATGTGAGCAAAAAGTAAAACTGTCATCATGACCTTGAAGCAGCCCTGCCGCCAATTCAATAAACAAAGAACCAGTCCCAACTGTTAGAACCGCTAAGTTTAAGTTGAAAATGCATCTTACCTTTTGCCCACAGTATTGCATAAAAATATAAGTATACCTAAATTTTATTGAAGCTATATTATATAGTTTTCCGATTTATTCATAAAAAATTATAAATTCTGAAAACTTAAAATAAGTGTCTACCCCAGAGTAAAAGGAAATAGGGTTAAAAACAACAAACGGTTTATTAGGTCCGTCGAAAAGTATGTAACACGCGGAAGTAATTGTTTTCGATCAAGCTATATCCGTCTTTCCGTATGAACGCTGAGTTCTCGGAAATTGTAAAAGCTACGACCATAACGCTTAAGTCCATTTGATGCCCACATTCTTGAAGATTTTGTTTCAGTGTAACTTGAAATACATTTTATTGATCAATACCAAAATGCTAAAATTTTTACCAATCGTGTAATTATCTTAAAAGTTATGACTCTCTAAGTTAAAAAGGCTTTAGTATTATTCGGCATTATCGCTACCGTCCGCTAGGTGCCGTGTCGCTGGCATCAGTGGTGTGAACCGCGCTAGTCGAAATGCCCTGGAATTTAAATTTGTTTGAAACAAAGTAACGCGTATCTGATGGTCGAAGAACTTGACTTTATCGTTCCTGCTTGTTTTCATATTATTTTCTCATTAATTTTTTGAAATGTTATAGAAATTCACATTTATGGTGGATCCTAACGCCTGAGGAAAGTCTTTATTTTCGAACCATGTTTGCATGCACTTTGTAAGTTGCAGTGTTGCAGTTTGCAAGCTATGACTATAAGTCATACAATTGCTTGCACTTTGTACATTGAATATTTGTTATATTGTTGTTTTTGCGCTGTTGCAATTTGGTGTTTGTAATATGCAATCGGAAAGATAATAATTCAATACGTAATATTCCAAAAGACAAATGCCAAAAATCAAGTTTTCGGTTATATTTATTTTAACATTTGCAAATTCATAGAATTACTTGACCAACTGTTTATCAAATAGTCGTTCAATTAAAAAACAATTTTATTCG